ACTATTAAATGAAGAAATCTTGTACCTAAAGTATTTATCTGATAAATGTTCAGCTGTGTAAACCAAAATAAATAAAGTATACTACTGGTAAATTTGTTTCCTGATATACAAAGAAAAAAATCATATAGAACTCCCATTATATTGTAATTGCTGTTTTATTGGGACTGTTCCCTCATGACAGGGAAGCTGTCTTAAGTGCTTTGGCAGATACAGAATATACAGAGCGGTGGTGTTCTGGGAAGTTGTAACACAGCTTAGTATCATAATGTTTTTAGGGCTGCTGTAGTTTTTTTGGGGGGGCTCTTGTCTAGCTTAAAGTATATACCTTTTATCTCAATAGAGGGTAAAACATGAAATAGCTTTCTTGTAGCAAATGTTAATACTTATGTATACACTTCTGTTTCTTTTCCTCTCTCACTTGAATTGATGTCTCTAAGTAGTTTGCCAGGCTTCTGATGGAAAGAAATTGCCTCTTGCTCCTTCTAAACACTAGTAATTTGTTATACTTATCCTGTGAGGTGCATCCATGTGTTTCTAATAAACTGAAGAGGGTGATAGATGAACAAACATATGCGGATGTGGGTAAGAGAGCCTCTAAATATTGGGGGGAATGGTGTTCTTAGAAATGGGATTGGTTTAGATGAGTCAGTGGAGCAATTATTACTAAATGATTGCATGAAGTTTGCATTTGATACATCTCGTAATCACTCCTGCATTTGATTGTAAATCGCACCCTGTGTACCTTGGTTAAGAAGCTGATGGCAGAAACATTGCAGCTGTCAGATGCTGGTGAAGCCACTAAGTTATGCTGATGTTCAAAGCGGGGAAGAGGCTTGCGTCTAGTCCCCTGTATCATGCAGAAGGCACAGTGCCACAACTTAAGTCAGCAAATAATCTTCTTGCTAAAATACTACTGAAACATGTTTATCACATCTTTGCATCTCTGTTAGAAATAGCAGCTGCTGGTAGGATGTGAAGAAAAACTCCATAGATTCCCTTTGTTTTCTGCCAGTTTTTGTGTTTTGTCATGCTCCTACCTACTAGACTGTATATTGTTGTTAGGGCTTGACTTGCATGTCAGTGCACTTGACATTATTTTGAAAAAAGTTGATGCTGAATCAATCACTTGTCCTGTATGAATAACTTTCAATAGAGAAAGTGCTTACTAAATAATTATCCCTAAGCAAATATTTCTTAATTTTTAATATGTTGTATTTAGTTTGGGACACAAAGCTATGTTACCCCTCCATAGTGAAATCACGGAACATCCAAAGAGAATTGGGAGTTTACATCTATGAAATGCCCTAGCATGTTGCTTATTGAATTTGGCTAGTTACCCTGAGGGTTCTGGCAGACCACAGGGGAGTCTGTTTTTATAGCATTGTTTTCTGAGTGAATTTTATTGCTGCAGATGAACTTTTTTTACTAGATGCATAAGGTAAGAGCTACTTAAGTACAGAAGTTCATGACCTAAGTGTTAACATCACATCTTCAGATTCAGAGTTCCTCTTCTTCCATAACTATCAAGGTTTTTTACAGAAGCGGTTACTGTTTACATGTTCAATGTAGCCATTTAGATGATCACTGTCACTGTTAGTTGATGTCAAGATTGCAGGATTTCTGGGTGTCATTCTCTAAAGAATGGGCTGCCTGTGATATCAAGAGAATTGCAGCTCTTGAGCCTTTCTTGATATATGATTCAAAACCAGCTGTTAATCCTTTCTATGCAGTAGACTTATCAGTACTAAAAATGGCAATGTTCGATTCCTTATTTGCTGAATTTCAAAGTGTGGCTTTGTTTGAATAATACTTTATTGTAGAAAAAAATACTTCAAAAATTATAACAGTTTATTCCTTATCATATAGAGAAGTAATCTGTGAATGGTATTACATTGGTGAAAGTGTGGTGCATCTACACAGATGATTTGAAATTTTTGTTATGGATTTTTGACCCTTTTGATTTTCCATAGAGATCATAAGATAGAGTGGAATGTTTTGATGGTCTGTCCACATCAGTAGGTGAATGAGTTTCACTGCCTGACTCTTTTTTTTCCCCCACCGCTATGATTCCAGCAAAGTTCTGTAACATTTTTCTAGTCATAGTAATAATTGTGGGGGACCTAGCAAAATTTTGATAATGGAATTTAGAAGTCTCATGAACTTTATGAATAACGTTGTTCATGATATGTCAGCGATGGTACAGGACAGGATTTGATGGCCTCTTTGCTTTCCTATTCCTTGTTTTACTGTAGTGCTGATACAGCTCCTTCTGTGGCAAGGAAGAGTGGAAGGTTGAAAATAAGAGGCAGCGTTCCCTTAAGAGGCTTCAGGATTAAGCTGATAAATAGAATAGATGATACCTCAAAATCTAAAACAGGTTTTCTTAAGATTTGTTGTTTAAATGAGGAGAAAGAGGGGTAAACAAACCATTTTTCCCTTTCTACTTTGGATCTTGTAGTCTTTTCAACACCTCCATTGGAAGAAATGCAAAGAAAGGTAACAGGCTTAAATAGCTGAGAGTTTTCTTTTCTTTTGGACTGTGGCTTTATTTTTTAACATTGACGTTGCTGTAAATGTATTTATTGGAAAATCGGAGGGTTTGGCTACAGAGAGTACCTTACTGGGCATTTTCTTTCATACAGTTTTCCTTTGGTATCTGCAAAATCAGGCTTTCCATATGGACACCAGACACCATTATCAAAGTCTCTCCTATTTGCTTTCATGTTTTGAATAAATTAGCATTAATACTGGGCCAATATTGTAGAAATAAATTATGACACAAAAGCTGATGTGGACAAAAGAATCTTAAAGATGAATTGCTACTAAAATCAGCATTGTGAACAGGAGGACTAAAATGGTTAATTTCAGTGTTGATACCACAGCTCTTAAAGTAAGCTGATGGTCTATTCTATAAACTGCAATAACTACAACTTTATAAAAATATTTGAGAACGGGCGTAAAAATGCCCTGAAGTTTTGCAGCTGTCTTGGAGTTCAGTTTGAGACTGATTAAGTGAGGTTATCTTGTACTCTGCTAAGGCCTTTTTGGTTATACTAGTTTCTGTTTAGATTACCATTATACCTAAGAAACTAAAGCTTACCTGGTTAAATCTAAAAGTTTAAAATGTTAGGATACTTCTTTGTCATTTTACAAAGTGGCCAGGAAGGAGTTAGTACCTCTGGTTGCTTGGAAGAATAAAGACATGAAAGCTTTATGAGGAGCCCTAATTCAGTGTTCTGACTTGCCATCAGACTTCTTCAATAGCCTGCCAGAAGTCTTATTTCACTAAGGCAGTCGACTTTGGGGAGCAAGGGGGGCTTAACTTTTGTATTCTTGTGCTCCATATTGAAGCTACTAATTTTAACATATGCCTGAGCCTTTTAATGGGGTCAATAGCTGACTGAAGTCCATGGTGATAGGAGCTGCAGTATTAGGAGGGTTTTGTACATCATGGTTACCAAATAAATAGAACGTTATTGCTTTGGATAAGAACTGTGTAACTTTGCATTGAACTGAAAGATTTCAGGCCATCTTTTTCTCTGATAACTGTATACTTCTACTGTGTAAGTTTTAGGTCTCTAGGTATCCATAAGACAAAACATTTGAGGGTGTTTTAGTGATAGAAGTATGAAGAACAGGTCCTCACCTGAAATGTAAGCCCCTGAAATGGCTACAGAGTTAATATTGTCTTTACTCCTTCACTGTGAAGCTTATTTTATTGGCAAGATGCTTGCTTTCTGGATAGCAGTTCTACAAATTCATGTTTGATATTTTAATCCTGCTTCTATGGAAAGTCAGCCAATTCCTACTGTTCTATTGTAAGGGTTTAAACAAAGCTGCACATAAAGTGTGGGATTTAAAGCAATGCGGTGTTACAAATTATGAATGTAACAATCGGAAAAGACTGTTGTGACGCTGTTTCAAGTGATGTTTACGATTACCAGTATTTCGCAGTGAAATAGTGGTAGAGGAAGGAAAAAAAATGGTGATGTAAAAGTACTATTCTGTTACCAAATGTCTTGTTTCAAGCTGGGCGTATATGTGCTTGGGAAAATGCCAAGACTGTGAAGTCTTTGTTTCCGGTGAGTCTGAAGAAAACACCTAATTGTATTTATTTTAATTTTAAAACCCCTTGCTCTGTTAACAGATGTGAGATGAATGGATATGGGACTTGAATTGAAAAGCTTTCTTTTTCATAAGAACTCCCAGAGTAAGAAATATACTAAAAGCAGCCCCCTTCTGCCATCTGCGCTTGTCAGGTGTGTTTTGTCATACCTGGCTGTAGTAAGGGACATGATGTACAACTTTCCTGGTTTTGCTCTATTTAGTTTTTTTGTTCCAAAGGTAACAGTTGTAGTTTTCAAGGCATACCTGGGTACAGTTTTTACCTTGCGATACCTCTTCACTGTCAACTTTAATGCAGGGAAGTAGAAAAATCTTACGGCTTTAAAAATCTCATGACTTTACAGTTGCCGATTAAGCTATGAAGATCTGGAAAGTGTGAAGGCAGAAGCCAGCCTGTTGTCCTGACTTGTAGCTCTGGATGCTGTTGTTGACACTCTTCCCATGTCCATAATTTTGTGAGGTTGTCTCACCTTTGAAATGCCTGTGTGTCCAGAGTCTGCCTGATGTACACGTATGTCATATGAGTCTGTATGCATAACTGAACAGAACATAGCTTTCAGCGTTAAGAGGGAATCACGAAACTCAGTCTTATCAATCTAATGCCCAACTCTCCTGTTTTAACACTGTATGCTCTTAGCAAACAGTATAAATCTTTGGAATTGATTGAACAAAAGAATTTCCTGTCGTTTTCTGTGTGTAATCCCGGGGTTTCAGTTTGGAAGATAGAAACGTTGAACAAGCTTCAGTACTGTAGAAATGAAAGCCAAAAATTCTGTGAAAGCAAAACCTTAAGTTCCCTAAATCTGAATGATAAGCATGCACTGAATGCACTTAACTGAATCTCTTCCTTTAAAGCCGCAGCAGCATACAGAACTATGCTTCTGCTGTTTTACAAGACCTTCTGTGACAGGTAACCTCGTTCTGTGTCTGGATGTGTGTCATCTCCTGAGATGAATTTTTACAATAGTTCACAGCACACGTAATTAATTCTTTTCAGAAGCTAGTGAGTTTTTAATGAACTTTGGGCAAACTACAATTTTATATTTGATAATTTCAGAAGGTGGTTTAAAAAACATTAAACCTGAATGCTTGATAGAATGTCATCTTAAAAAAAAACATTATGGAGAGCACCAGTTGTTTCAATAATCATGATTTCTGCAATGATGATGCAGCAGTAATACCTGAATTAACTTGCTCTATCACACGCAATGTGCTTGTGTACAAATTGAAGGAGCATTGTTACTCAATGATGCTATATTACTTGTTCCAAATTTGTTCTATATAAAGAACTATTATTGTAATAATATTTAACATCCCTGATTGACAGCTTTTCTGATTTGCTTCCTTCCTTGACCCCTCTCCTCCAAAATAAATTTTTTAATTGAGCTTGTTAATCTTGATCACCACCATTGCAAAATGAGCAAAAAGAGTGGTCTTTTTTTTTTTTTTACATTAATACTCATGATCATTTCATATATTTAAGCATTGTGATCTCTTTGCCTGAATTTACTGAAAGACAAGAAGTGAAACAGTGGATGTATTCTTAGTGCTTCTGTAACAAGAATCCAGAACTTGCACTGTGTGTATTACTGTCAGTGATTTTTCCCAAAGACGTAGATCATATAATTGCTTTCTGAAAGTCCCATATTCATCCCTCTCACTCCATAAACCCACTCTCAAATCTTGAATTCGTTTGCTGCTTTTTTCTTAGGAATGAGATGAATGGCTTTGATTCTCCTCTGCTAGGGAGGACTCCTGGAGGAAGAGCAGTAGGCAGTCAGCACATGTATGCCTCTGGGTTATGTGAAGCATATCATAGCCTTTTTTTTTTTTCTGCACAGGGATTTCAGTCCTCCTCTGTGGCCCTGCTGTTCTTTTCTGTTAATGAATCTCTTTCCTCTCCAGCTTCCAAAGATTTGTATGACTGGCTTTTGTTTAAAGATGAAGCTTACCGCTTGTTTTTAAATGTAGGGAAGTATCACATCCAGTCAAAGATCTTCTTAACGCTGTGAAAATGTGTTTTTACCAAGTATGGGGGGGAGAAGATGAAGTAGATAACCTATTCCTAAACGCCTTTTCTATTTTAAGTGTGTCAAATTCATTGCTTCAGTTAGATCTTTTCTGGAGTTACAACAGTTACCTGTAGCATATACAAAAGGTTTCCTGCTTCAGCTGTGGTGAAAGTAGTTAAAATTAATACATGTGACAGTCAGCAATTTTCAAACAGCTTATGTATGGTGAAGAAATGGAATTTGCAGATAGCACTCTATTCTTATATAATATAACTGACATACTTTAAAGGAAGGCTTAAAATTTTAAGAAGAGCTATACAAACCAAAATACTTTTTTTTTTTTTTAGGGGAACTCTTCAGTAAGGGAGTAATTTTGCCTTTACCAAATGTCATATGTTGAACTTTCGAGGCTATTTGTGACTTGCTCTGTGTTTCTGTATTTAAACTTTACTTATATAAATCTTTCTGTGATCGCAGTTGGTTAAAACTTCAGTCAGTCAACTAGGCTTGTATATAGATGTAATACATTTATACTTAGAAATCTGACAAAATATTCTCCTCTAAGCATTATAAATAAAATTGGTTATCTGAGCAGTAGTTGTTGGTAATGCATTTCTGAGGGTGATACCCATGAGCAAATTTTAAAGGAACAATGCAGGTGAATGGGCAAAAAGTGTATTTGCTGTAGTGTATTCTGAGGCATTTCTCAAATCTTGCTGTTTAGAGGTGAACATCAGAAAAAAACTTGCTAGGAGATTAGCCTTGAAAGTAGTCCTAGTACTCTAAATTAATGTAAGTAATGTTATTTTACCTTAACCAGTAAATAGGCATTTTAATTCTCTACTTTGAACTAATTAAGGGCCAATTCTAAAAGTAAACTTCAGAACAAATCAGACCAGTGTCTTAAGTCTGGACACTGCAGACAAGGTACCTCTCTCCTTTTATTTATTTATCTGTTTATAAACCAACAAGATATCATCCCATAATGCTGTTTTGCTTGTTTACTGTTTCTGTTTCTTTTTTCAATATATAGTAAATGTAATGACGCAGACAAGTTGTTCTTGCTGGGATTCTTAGTAATTTTTATACATTTCAGAAGACTCCTTTTCATATATGGAGAACACAAACACATTTCTAATTTACATTGGGGATATCATATTTAAAACCAGAAAAACATACAGGTAGCATTAATAAAATTCTAAACTGAAGCTTTTAGCTGTGCTTCTTCACATAGTAGCTCACGTTTTAAGAGTCAAAGTTGATCTTCTTACTTATATTGTGCACCTGATGTGTGTTTCTTGAATTGATGGGAATTTCTTGGAGAAAACATAGCAAAATACATCGAAAACCTCCAAGCTCTTCCTAGTAAATTTTTATGTTGGAAGTTTGGGGCGTTTCAGGTCCTACTGGGGTAAGTAGGGTATGGTCCAAATAATTACTTCTATGAAGTGATAATTTAGTTTTCCAAATCGTTGCAGTGTCAGGGGACTGCATGTTCTTGCTGATGGTCTCTGTGGAGAGGTTGCTTAAGGAGCTGCTTTTTGCAAGTGCCAGGCTAGTTTCTCCATACTTGCTTTATGCTGTGCTGCAAGCTCTTCAGTGTCCTGAGATTGTCTATTAAAATTGGCTGTGAGCAATGTAACAGGCCTATACAATTCTCCCTAGGAGGCCTGTGCCTGATACTAATAAGATGGAAGAAAAAGTGCTGGGCTGTTCAAAGTGTGAAGTTCTCCCGTTGTGTAGTAATACTGTGATTTCTTGACTGCAAATCAGGAGTTGAAGTCTTAGATTTAAAGTGCAAACTGTACCCATAAAGTAGAGAAAATACAGACAAACATGAAGATTGCAACTTTGCACTGTGTAATAACCATGGAAAAATGGTATGGTTGGTATTTGATGTTGTTTTTTCTATTTCTGTAGAGATCAGTGAGTATGATATTGTAGTCTTAGGACATAGCATGACAGTGTCTCACTTAAGGTTTGTTTTTTTTTGTGTTCTTACATTTGTTACTCTTAATGTAAGAAAGGCACTTACTAAACTTTCTAAAAATCTTATCTATTTTCATTGAAAGGTATTCTCTGTTTTATAACCACTTGAAGAACATTGAGGAAAACGAAGGAGGCCTTGATAAGTTTTCAAAAAGTTACAAAACCTTCGGAGTTAACCAATTTGTGGATGGTGGAATATATTGCAAAGAGTGGGCACCAGGAGCAGAAGCAGTGTTTCTTGCAGGTGATTTCAGTAAGTATTTTTAGGAATATTTCTTCTCTCCTGTACTGTGTTTTAGATCAATACCTTCTTCACTTAAAGACAGTTTTGTAGCAATGATGAAATTCTCATAATAAAAATGTATGTCGTGGCTTCCTGATGTAGTGGCATTTCGTAACTTAAGCTAATAATCTTTTACTCCACATTGCAGTAGCTGAAGAACATAGGTATTTCTGTTGTATCGTCAATATTATGTGTATCTTTATTTTTATTTTTATTTTTTTAAATACCTGAAAGGCAATGACTTGTCTAAAGGATATAGCCTGATCACACTATGGCTTTAGACTGAAAGTGTCTAAAGAGAGATTCTTCCTAAAACTCTACAGTTAGGCTTCTATAAAACTGTATGCAGAGGAGGAGAAATAGCAGTGAAATAACTTGCTTTATCTTTGACTGATCTAGCAGCAGTGTTGTCCAAGGACCAAGGCCCTTTGAAATTCCCACTAATCATGAGAGTGTAGACAAAAGTCTTGCTGGAAGATGGTAACCTAAAATTAAACTAACAAGCTTATGAAAGAGCAGGTGGTGTTCTGTTTTGAGAGGAGGAGAAGGATGGATGTTAGTAGAACAGGAAGGTGGTAGGATTACATGGAAGAATTACATTGTTTACTGTGAGAACTGGGAAGATGTTGATTCACTTACTTAAAACTTGAGACAAAAGTGTAAATTTGCTCCTCATTCGGAAGGCTAGCTACACTCAAATCATATTCTGCGAATTCTTAAATGGAAGTGAGACGCATTTTTACTCTTAAATCCTGCAATGCTAGTGCTACTCTCTCCTTTTTGTTTGGGCTTTTGAGGATTTTTGTTGAATCTTTCTCTTTCACCTCTTCACTCTATCCCTTCTACAGAGTTAGGTATTAGTCCATCAAGACGCTAGGAATTCCATTGCTGGCTCTTACTGAACTGAGACTTCATCTGTGAAATGATTTTGTTCATTTAACTGCATTTCAGAAGCATGCAGTGTTATTTATCCAGCTTTTGTTTTGATCTGATACTGATCTGGTGAGGGTTCAGTGTGTGTATTTGTATTACAAAAAGGTACATGAATTGCCGATTTGAGGCAATTAACGTATGGTTAAGCAGAAGTAGTTAAATGGTGAGTTTTCCTTCTTTACCCGTTTGAGGAAGTGATTGAATGGGAAAACTCTGTATTTGAGGAAGGAAATTGTGATCTTGAAATTGTATGTACTTATGTAACGTTAAAATTATAAGACTCATTACATATGCTATTGGCTGTAGTATCTAGTAGTGCTTTCTAAAGTGCTATGGTTAAGCTTCTGTAAAAACATGCACAATAATTAAGAAATAAGTGGACTACCCTGGCAGTGTTTTTCAGGTCCATTGCTAAGATTTTTTTTCAATGCTTCATAGCAGTCTGTTTTAGTACTATTTTTCTATAGTTCCAAGATCAATACACTTACAAATAGAATAAGCAAAAACAAGTGTTTAAATATTCACGTTATGCTTCAGTTTCCAAACATCAGAGTCATAAAATAAATCTATTTTAACTGTCAGCAATTTGTATTTTCTCTTTTTCTTTAAGAACTCAATGAGAGGGTCTGTGCCCACTATTCACTGTGATAATTTGTCTGTAGAAAATGACTGTTTTTAGAAAAATCTTTTGCTTTTAATGCAGAAGATGAACAGAAAAGTTAGTGCGACACTATTTTTAACCATAGTCCTGTTTGATATGGTTAACCTAGTGAATGCTAGAGTAGCTTTCCTTGAAATACTCCTTGTCTTTTTATTGGAATAGATATTGACAAAATAAGTTAGTGCTAGTATTTGAATTTTAATATGGGAATCAGATATGTCCTGATTCAAAACTTAATAATGAATCATGAGTATAGTTGACCTACTGCTAGATTACAGTGATGCCAGATATTGATGCTGACTGCAAGACAGCTAGATGAGGATATTTCAGTGGCTCAACTTTATGTGCATAAGCACACACAAAATGTCCTCCTCGCTACTCCTCTACTCTCTGCAACCCTACCCATTGCTCAAGGTTTTTATGTGATGAATATAGGAGTCTTTAAGTTAAATTTTCTCAACGCAGTTGAAGACTAGAATATATTTGTTTTAAATACGTATTTTAATAGATGGCCATTTTAAAAACAGACTTTTAATGAAATTAATAACTAATATTTTAAAAAAAAGATATAACTTGTAAATTGACTTGGTGAGTTGGAGGGGGAAGTACACATATACCAGAATACAGTAGCTAAAAACTGGAATAGTTTCCTAAACTCTAACTCATTTAAAATATTTCACGTAATACATCATATGAAGCAGAAATTTAGGACTAATATTTTAGAGCAGTTGTATCTAGATGCTAATGAAATGTGGCAGTAAGAAGTCAAAAGACTAAAAAGAAATTCACTTTAATGTGGAAAAACTGCATTTGTCCTGTATATCATATTCATCAGTCATAGTAAAGTATTCATTCCCAAAGGGGAAGACAATGTACTCAGAAAGCCTAGAGGAACGGAGGACTGTCATTCAATTCAGACGAGCTTTAATAATATTCCAATGAGAAATTGGGTTGCAAAACCGTAAGATATAGATTCAGGTTGGTAAAGATATGTTTAATTAAAACTGAATCCCTTTAACCTTTGTCTAAGTTTTCAAGCAGGTTAAAGTCTCAAACTAAATTTATGATTATATTGTATTTAAATTGAATATCAGGATTGTTTTTAATAAGATTTTTTTTTAGAAAACTCAGCTTTTTATAAGGAATCTTTAATTGAACCACTTGATGGGGAAATTGGAAGTCTTACACAAAGAAACAAACATGGAACTTAGATAGTAGCTCTTTAGGTTTTAAACTGAAATATGATGGCATATAATACAGAAACAGTCAAGTCATGCTTTGTTTTTTAGTTCTCATGTAGGGAGATGGATGGCAATGTTTTCTCATACTGTTTCACTAAATAATACGGTATTGTTTGTGAGTCTTTTTATATGTTTGATGGGAAAGCACAAGAGAGGACACAAAATATTAGTCCCTCATGTTTAATCTATTACGTTTTTGAGGATCAAAAACTAGTAAAAATTATAATGTGTTATGGTTTAACCCCAGCCATGTAGTTTTAAATACATATTTAAAACTAAGGCCCACCCAGCTGCTTGCTCACTCTCCCCCGGTGGGATGGGGAGAGAATCAGAAGGGTAAAAGCGATAAAACTCCTGGGTTGGTACAAAGACAGTTCAATAGGGAAAGCAAAAGCCATGCACGCAAGCAAAGCAAACCAAGGAACTAATTTACTACTTCCCATGGGCAGGCAGGTGTTCAGCCATCTCCAGGAAAGCAGGGCTCCAGCATGCTTCATGGTAACTTGGGAAGACAAACGCCATCACTCCAAACATCTGTCTTCCTCCTTCTTATCCCAGTTTTATATGCTGAGCACGACATCACATGGTATGGAATATCCCTTTGGTCAGTTTTGGTCAGCTGTCTCAGCTGTGTCCACTCCCAACTTCTTGTGTACCCTCAGCCTACTCACTGGTGGGATGGTATGAGAAGCAGAAAAGGCCTTGGTGCTGTGTAATCACTGCTCAGCAGTGACTAAAACATCCCTGTGTTACCAACACTGTTTCCAGCACAAATTCAAAACATTGTCCCATCCCAGCTACTCTGAAGAAAATTAACTCTGTCCCAGCCAAACCCAGCACATAATGGGAAGTGCAGACTGTGTTACAGAGAACTTAAACTTCTTTCAGAATTTATAATGAGGTTGATAGTTGTTAATAGGCTTATTATGAACTGTGCTTAAGATAAACATGAATAATTTATTTCTGTAATTATATACATTTGAAGCAGCAGTCCTGCAAATATAGTTGTTTTTATGAATGGCTTTTATGCCTTGTAGCAGACAACAAAAGTTTTGATATTAAGGTATTTTGTCCTAAATTATGGTATTTTTGTATCTTATTCTGAGACAGTTGATAATCAATGGTATAGCTTCTATTTACAGAATACTACTTAGTATCACTGGAAAAAAGCTAGAATCTAGTAATAGTACACAAATCTGTATCTGGATTGGAGAATGAAAAGCATAAATTCAAGAAAATCCCAGCATTCTCAGAGTTCTTTTTGTCTCTTCTTTAAAACTCCATAACGGGAAATGAAAAGATATTATATCTTTTGGTGTTCTAGTACAATGCTTTATCTGAGAAGTATGAAATGAGCATCCAGATACATTAAGATTCGTCAATTAGTACTTTTACCCTCAGTAAATCAAGTGTATGAGGCAATTAGCTGAATTTCTGATACTGGAGGCAGTATTAACATTATAGCTACCTTAAAAACTCTCAGTGATAACACACTGAATATTTTATTTGCATGCTGTGCTGCTGAGGAACTTGGAGACTGCTGGCAATTTACTGCTACTTTACAATCAACTATTTCAAAATAAGTCACTGAACTGCCAAGTTTTGAGAGTAACCCACAGAATTTGTTTGGGAATTAAAACACTCAAAACTGTATTTGGCCATGCAGAGACTTAGTAGATCTGTAAAAAATATTTTAATTCAAAAAATGTTACTGGCTTTAAAAAGCTTGAAAGAGTAACTAACTATATGTATGCTAATTTAGAAGTCAGTATTTGATATAATACATTGTCAAACTTGTGGTTTCTGTTCTTTAGTCCCCTTTTTTCTTTTCTTTGCCTTCCCCTCCCTCCTAGCTAATATTGAATCTAAAATACTGATCACTGTGTAATGTCTGCTTCTGCATCCTTTTTCTTACACTAGTGGGGAAGACTTCTGCTAGGGTTGTAGGGTGGGCTGGTTGATTTTGAGGGGAGGTTTATTTATTATTTAAACTCTGACAAGCTTCCTTCAGAGCAAAGAAAGAGGAACTAAAGCCACCAGCCCCCATAATTTGATATCTGACAGCTGATTAGATACTTTTAATATCTTAGAATTATATATTTTTTTTTTGCTAGACTTGATTCAAACTCTTTCCT